GCTGGTGCCGCAAACACGTGTTTCTTAACCTTTTCTACAATATATATATATTGTACCATAGAATATTTGTGTATTCTCAAAAGGTAAATTGCATTAATATTGTAGCTTAAATTGGTGGGCAATAGAAGTTGGGTTATTAACTTGATTTATAGTTATGAGGTAGTAGCGGGGAGGTGGCGATAGGTATAAAATGAAAGATACTTGATATATATACTATTCTAGAGTAAACATGTCACTTTTGGTGGCTGTACCTCCTATTATTTACCCAATTAGCTCAAAAAACAGGATTTCGACATAGATTTTGATCGTTTAGTGGGAAACGGGGCAAATTACCGAATATCGGAAGCAAACCTGATCTGCGCATGGACTAGGAGGACCTACAGCTAAAAATTCAAGTCTCTAGCTCCTATAGTTTCTAAGATCCTTGCGTTCATACATACGGACGGACGGACGGACGTGGCTAGATGGACTCGGCTATTGATGCTGATTAAGAATATATATACTTTATGGGTTCGAAGACGCTTCCTTCTGCCTGTTACATACATTTATATATTGCACAAATACAATAAACCCTTTTTACCCATTTTCATGGGTTCAGGGTATTATAAATAGCCATCAAAAATACTTTCTCCCAATTGGAATTGAACTTGCGCGCCGCGAACAACTGCCTCCCGGGCCTTTTTACCTTGCAGCCATACTGAAAGTTGGATGCAAACGCAATTGTAATTCTTTTTATGTGTATTTATGCACATGTGTACAGAATTTCTAGCGCTTTGCGGCTGACTTATGGACTGACTTATAAGACTCAGCAGCATTATTGTGCAATATTCGTGTATTCTTAAAATACAATTGTGGCATTACTTACTGGAGAGTTTCAATTGCTTTATTAAATTGATTTTTAGCAATGGGGTGGAAGCGGAGATTATCAATAGCTTTAAAATTAAAGATACATGATATATGTATACAATTCTAGGAACCAGATGTCAAATTTGATGATTCCTGGTAGGTCTGGACAGAGCAAAGAATTGAAGACGTCCTGACAGAAAAGAAGAATCTATGTCGCAAGCAATCAGCTTATGTGGGAAGATAACCCCGAGGATTGTCCTACGGCTGGTTAGGGACAGAAGATCAAGAAGAAGAAGCCTGCTGGAGTATGAAGATTGGGGTCCCAATTTAAGTGATCGTAAGGCAAAAAGTATAAAATGCTTCTTAACTGATTCAATACGATCCTGACTTTTATTTTATTATGGAGACCAGATGCATGAGCAATATTCAATGATAGGGCGTACAAGAGAGATATATAGAAGTTTGGTTATGAAGGGATCGTAAGGCTTCTTAGACGAAGGTTAAATGAATTAAAGTACACCTTCAGTTTCAATTACAATGGTAGCTATATGAATATTGAAGCAGAGTTATGAATCAAAAGGAACTCCAAGGCCTTTAGATTTAAGTATACGTTGCAGTGGCATATTGGTGATTGTATAACTCACAAGATAAGCTGTACTATGATTGAAGGTCATAAACATGCACCTTGAACAATTAAGATGCACTTGATTGGCCGAACAACAAAGTTACATAACGTTCAAAACACTTTGTAGACGAGAATGATCAGGGGATCAGTGTAATAAAGAATAAGTTTCAAATCATCTGCATACATAAGTACATGGGCACTTGATATAACAGAGGGAAGATCATTTACAACAGATAAAGGAGTTAAGATCATAAGTAACATAAGCCTGCTTCGAGGTAGTCAGCCCCAGCATGATTTTTTGGTTCCTACCCTTTTAATAAACCGATATCCGATATCAGAAAGAAAGAGAGGGAAGTTTAACTTTATAAATGGCGCGTGATGGAAAAGTTACTGTAACTGAGACATTCTCAGACTCTGTAAAATGTGGTGTAGAGTCGGCCGATTATTTCTATGCTAATTAACGGGCTTCGCCTTTCTGAGGGTGATACCGTGGACCCATGTCGTCAATACACGCGATACTGCTAGTGATTCAGATGGATCAATGATTATGATGATTACGTTGGGAGAACAACTGGTTTCCATCAATCACTGGCCTTTTGGAAGTGGTGCTTGGTATCAAATCCAATATAAAACTAAACATAACATTATTTTATAAAGTGAACTTAAGCTAGCTTCGCAATCAGTGCTTCCGCGGAGCCGCCATTGCTATCCCAAAATGCAGCATTAGCGCCTCGTACACGGTGTCGAATGGCCGTCTCGACAACATATTATAAATGCGACACATCCGCCACGCGCATGACTCCGGTCATAGGCTTCTGTGAAACCCTGGGTCAACATATGCCGGGAGTCAGTGGTCGATCTTGAGGACCATCCTGGGTCGCGTTGTAGCCTTTTATCATTTCCGCGACCTTTCGGTCGTTTCGATGCTTTCTTGAAAGCCAATAGTTCCAGTAGACTATCGTTCCCAGTGCAGAAGTCAATTATACTATGCCCAGCGCTATTATCGACCTTACCCCGACTACATAATTTTTTCTGACTTCCCTTATGAAGTGCAGATTTGCTTTGCTCAGCCGATGAATATACGGCAGACTAAGTACCGTGTCGTGCCCGCCAATATTTGGCTGTCGCAATCGGCCACCAGGTTGTCGCGGAGTTGGAGTGTTATTTTCCCTCACAGCTTGCCCATAATGGGAAATTAAATGATAACATTTATTACTTTATCCTTACGGTGTACCCAAAAAAAGAACACTTTCAATATATTAGAAATTGAAAATCCCTGTGACTAGGTCAGTGAGGATTGTTGAATGATCAGAGTGATCTACAATGGCTGGATTTATTACGTTAACTTTTTCAAGGGTCAAAGCGAGCAAAAGATTTCATAATTCGGTGGATAACATTCTTTTGCGAGCTGCAAGGGCTTCAAAAAGGTGGCCGGTAACGGTCTGTTTCCTATTCAAAACTTGAAGGATCTTATTAACTGTTTCGGTAAGTTTATTGATTTTCTGCTGGGTCTTTGATGAATATAATAGAAAAAAAACGAAAATACTTTCAACGGAGGTTTTCCCTGTGGGCGACCCTCCCCTCAATGAGCACCGTTGTCTCCAGGTCAGCTTGAACCTTTTTTTTTAATGCAAAGTGGCGACAGCCTGTTACCCAGCCTGCGGTTGGTCTTTATCAAAACTTTCTCGCCTACTTCAAAGTGTTGTGGAGAGGTGGCGCATTAACAACGCTTACGCCGTAATTGCTCAACAGCATAGACCTAATAGTCAATGACTTGAATGCGATCTCATTATCGCAATATATTTGTTAGGCTTAAGGGAAGATCTCTTTTATCTTCAATCGTGAGGGATGTACGACCACAAACTTAGAAAACAAGTCTATGCAAGTAAGAAAAACATTATTCTTTCGACATTATTTTTTTACGTCAAAAGCGTCGGTCAAGAAATTTTTGCAATACTAAAAACTTTGTGGTGGGGAAGGCCCTTACCTGGAATCTGGCCAAGGTTGGACGGTTACAGTGAATCGCGAATCACAACAATTGGGTTGATAACACATTTAACCGTTTCAACCAGCCCATATGCCGTGAACTGAAGAGTCTGTGGTCAGATCAAATGTTTTTTGTATTCTGGGTACATTAATATACATTAATATAACGTCTTCCGGAGCTAATATGTTTCGGAGTTTTTTAAATGCGTTGCGTTGGCCTTCTGTGAACTGTACTGGAATCTGGTGGTAACCTGATTTCAGGTGGAGCATCATGCAATACTTGGCTTTACCCAGGCTAGCCAATATCATTTTGATGCTCAGCATAGGGTATTTATCGGAAACCGTTTAAGATTGAGCTTTCTAAAGTCTAATACTAGGCGTTTATTCTTTCTGCCCATTCATTAATAAATAAATCGCTTACATCGTATCTTGCTGTAATTTTTCTGCCATGTTTAAAAAAACATTTTATATTTTTTACATGCAAGGTCACCTTTCGTACCTCTTCATTGTTAATGACTTGGTACACTTTGGGCTTTAAAGCTTTTTTTATAGATTGACTAGGCAATTCTATTTCCTTTTCTCCTGTGCAGGATTCTTGTCTACTTGCTTGTCTTGTAGTGACTTTCATTATGTTTCCTGCTATATTTTGTAGCTCCTTGATGGTTATTTTAGATAACGCAACTGCTACGTAATTGTCTTAACCCTTCATATTCTACCGTAAAGTTATATTCCTCCAATTCAAGCCTCATACGTGTTAATTTTGAACTTGGATTGACCATTGAAAATAGATAACTTAGTGGTCTGTGATCCGTTTTTACCGTGAAATGGTTACCATAAATATATGGTCGTGAGTGTGTTATTGTAAAGTTAAGTTTTTGACCATATGTTTCTCGGAACACCCGATTACTATTAGATTATCCATATAAAGAAATGCTAGCGGTGGTTCTAGACCAGAAAATGCTATTGTCATCATACTTTGAAATGAGTTTGGGGCTATTTTTAAGCCAAATGGTAATCGCGTGAAGCGATGTAAGCCATTGCTTGTTGAGAATGACGTCATATTTCTAGAACTTTTTTTAACTTCACTTTGGTGGAAACCAGACATTAATAGCCTCTGTCCACTGGTTTAAGAGATGTCACATTTTTAAATTTCACATATTGGTGTTCCACTAGTTGTCGGTAACATGTGAGTGGCAAAAATACCGATTCTTTAAAAAGCAGCTGATCGAGTTTACTTAATTTAAATAGGCGCCGTGAAGTTCTTCTTCCAAAACTCAACAATTGCGCTCTCGAAGTAAGGGTTCCATTTTAGGTACTCTTTTCGAGATTTCGCCATGCTTAAATTCTAAAATCTGTGGGGGTATTCTAATACTACATTTCTTATTTAATGTTGCCACTTGTCTTCGTTGATATATGTTTACGATACCTTACCATTTTTCACAACATCGATAGAAATCTCGATTAGTCATCGTAAGGAATGTGCCTTTTTTTAAAGATGTGTGAAATTATTTTTTTCTAATGGGGAAACGCACAGGGTGTTTTTCACACATTTGTCAAAAATGTGACATTTCATGAAATGTGTTCAGTGGACAGAGGCTATAAGTCTAGGCATCACAAATAGTTTGCTCTACCTAGTTGATTTAGAATATCATAAATTCTAGGTAGTGAAAATTTGTCGGACAATAGCTTTTTATTAATTTGATAGTCAATTACTAATCGCAATTTTTTCTTTTCAGAGTCCGGAAGAAACTTCTTCGGGACTAGTAAGAGTGGGCTATTATATTCTGAGACTGACGGTTCGACTATTTTATCGTCTATTAATTTTTGTACTTGGGCTTTAATTTCTTGTACTTGGCTATGAGGTCTCCTATAATTTTTTATATATTCGGGCGCATCATCCTTCAGTCTAAGCTTTTGTTTGTAAAAATTATTTGTTGTTATTGAAATCTATGCCTATTATCCCATCACTAGGTATTGGGAAATTTTGATCGACTAAATGAAAGTTATGCGGAATTATGTATTTACCAATTCGCTAATTCCCGATATTTGAGTAGTAACTCTTTCGTTTACGTTTTCAAATATATCTACATTTTCTTTTAATAAAGATATATCTGCACCAGTATCAAGCAACAGTGTAAAGTGTTTACCTGTTCTTTCATTGTTAATTTTTACAAATAAGCTGAGGTTGAGGTTCATATGGTTTGATGGTTTTTATTGTGCCATTTATTGGCTCTAAACATCAGAGGGGTCTTGTTGGTTTTCCGAATTACCTTGAGTTATTTGGACATTACCTCTATTGTTATTATTTTGGTTGTTACCTCGGTTGGAATTATTCCTTCCTCGGTTATTACCATGGGCATTACCTCTGTAATGTCCTCTGCCAGTGCTATTGTTGTTATAGTTTGCGTTATGATTACCGCGGCCATTGCCTCTACCTCTTTGGTAATTGCGATAATCATTGCCTCTATTATGTCTTCCTCGCTGATATAATACTGTGCTGACACTTACAGTCATTTCAGTGCTGCAATGAATTTATTAACTCATTGCATCATAAAATGTATTGAAGTTTCCAGCTTCTAGTATTATGCGAAGCTTTTCGTATTCACCATTTTTGGTCATTGCAAATATTGACTCTTTAGTAGAGAATTTCTCAGCATTATCCGAGTCTAGGCCATCGTCAATATAAGTTGCCTCGAGTTGTTTACGCAAGTTATCGATTTCAGCTGTATATTGAGCTTGTGTTTTGCCTTTTTGTTGGGCTTTTAACAGCTTTGCCTTCATCACGTCAATGGATTCACCTTTGACGCTACTTTTTAATTTATTAATAATCGTGGTCTCGTCTTGGCATTTGTATAGTATTGTGCTAGTTAGTTTTGATTTTATGACTTCTACAGCCAAATCCTCTTGGTTGCCCTTTGTTCGTTCAACAAGCCTTAAGGCTGTTAAAAAACGATTTGGTGGCCGTTTTTTACCGTCAAATTCAGGGACTGTAGACGAAATTTGTCTTACATATTCCCTATCTAAGGCTACCTGGTCTGGGATGTTTGATTCTGTATCGTCCAGTGTTTCAATGTCGATATCAAAATTTATATCGGTAATTGGCCTCGACTCATTCAGATCTTGCAGCTGGGTTGGTACAAACTTTGCTAGTAAAAATAGATCTTCTGAAACATTTATTATGATATTCTGTCTAATGCCAATGTTTTTCAATCTTGTATTTAAAGATTGTATGACTTTAAGACATTGTTTGGCATGTTCTTGTGTTAGTTTATCTTTAATGGAATCTACTGCATGTACTATATTGTTATATTGTTCTATCAATATTTGTACATGGAATATTAGTGTTTCTACCTTTATAGGTATGCATTTATTGATGCATTTATATGACTTGTCAAATTGGTATTACTACTATTTGAATCGTTGCTGATCCCAAAATGGGGGCTCTTCAGTTACTAGTTTTACTGAGACATATGGCAACTTACTTAGTATGATTCCCTTTTCGATTTTTGAACAATGTATCAATGGACCCATATGAATATTGAACATGTCCGTGTATTCGTATTCGAACTCACAAAATTTAAATAAAATCTCTATGTAATCGTAGTACGTTTAGTGCGCGAGTACGAAAGTCTGGCTCAACTCTATACGTAACCTAATGATTGCCCCTATATCTGACATATTCAAATATATTCATACCTTATCTAGTCCATCTGCTCTACTGCTATAGCGTTTCTTAATTTTCTTTGTATGCATTGCATACACTTTCAATGCTAGTGATACAAGAGAACTGCTGTAGTAAACATATCTAGCAAAATAGTAATATTTTTTAAATGTTCTTTATGGTCAATTACTTTTACGTTATTTATAACATTTGCGGCTGATTTTTCAACCTTGGGTTCGTTCCAACCCATTTGAAATAAAATTTCTTAAAAAAATTGATTTAATGTTTTTAAATTCATATAATGTTTTATGTAACATATAGTGTTTTTAGTTTTAAATGCAAATGTTTTTAGTTTCAAGGTTTTTAATATTGCCAATAACACAAGATACTACCAAGCATTTCGCATAGCTTTACGGACTATGCTGCTAATCGGGAGGTGTTTCCGCTCAATTTTACAAAAAAAAATTGTAAAGGTTAGAATACGGGATGCTCAATGTCCAAGTTACGACGGCAGTTGGTATAGATGGTCTCTCGTTGATCATGAAGTTCCTTTACCACTTGGATATCGTAGATGGCCTCTTCGTTGGCCTTGAAGTTCCTTTTTAACTTGGTCTACTGCCTCCAGGCAGGGATTCGTGACCATGTCACGGTCGCCAAATAATATTTGAGTTGATAATGTTTTTAACAAAAGCACGTTAGTGCTGGTTGACTTGAGTTTTTAGAATGATTTCAAAGTAAAATATTGCGCTTAACCTATGGATACATGTATATACTTATGCTGTTATTGGTTAACAGCTACAAAGAGAGGGAGAGTGTGTAGCTTGCATATACCTGTGTTAGTGAGCATATATGTTGCTCATGGAATACGCTCAGACAGATCATGGGAAATGCAGCGTAAGCATAAACGGTCAACTAGAGAGGCTAGTGAACTGCGCTGCGTAATATGAGCTAGACGCAATATATAAAGTGGCTCTGGGCTTGTTTAATGTATAATTGTTATTGTATGCGACAAAGTGCCGCATACTTTATATTTGTATATAGGGTGTTCTTTTAAAGCATATACACACTAATATATCATGTGAAACATTTTTTGACTGACTTTTGGCAGAAGACTTGCTAGCAATATAGGCTGCCAATGACTCACAAGTGGTGTCAGACGAAAGTCGAGAGACAAAAACTTGCCTATGAGGGGCAACAACGGTTAAAGTAGGAGCTGATGGGGCTGCAGGTAAAACAGAATTTAGTGGGGCCAAAGAGTCGTCAAGAATTTTTTTAACAATCTGGGCTAGGTTGCGCGCAGATCTACCTTTACGGCCAGGACCTGACGGGGCTGAGGCAGTATGGGTAGCTGGGACAGGTTCAGGTACGGGGTCTAAAGGGACTACAACAGGGGATAAAACAGGGATAATAACTGGACAGTCGCTCGGCGAAGGCGATAATGACAACATCGAAGATAAATCCAAGTTGCTAGGCAGGGACAAAAGAGGCGTCGGTGTCTTGACAGACGGAGAGGGAACTGCAAAAATTGAGGCTCTAACCGGCGATTTCTTAGAGACTCGAATTTGTATTTGTCAAGTCACTCAAAACTCGAGCCGCGGTATTTAGTTTTAAGAATTGATTTCTCACAAAATATAACATGCTGGAGGCCGCAGCTTTTCTTGGCAATTGCAGCGCTCTTGTCGCAATCATGCACAGTGAGACCTGCACATTAGCCTTGCTATGATGCAAAGCTGGCGTCGGCTTTACCGACTGCATGTTGGTACGAAACTGACTGACAAACTGACATGGATTAAGGGCGCGTCCAGGTCATAGAAATATTCGTTGGGGAGGCACCCGTACAACATATCGGCAATTGATGCTTGAAGATCTTCCTTGAAACACGTTCGGAGGCCAAGCATTACAGTTGAAAGTAAAAGTGGGTGGTATGGTGTCGTGTAGATTTGTTCACTTCCCAATAAATTGGCATCACTTCCCAATTGCATCGCAGACCGGCTGTGCTGTCATATCCTGTAGAGGTAAAGCCTCCAGTCAGTGAGAAAACCGGTCGATCATCGTCAGGCAATAAAAATCTGCTATCAGGAACAGTGATTTTGGTAGCCAATATCGAGTTTCGTTTATGTATTTTTGCTCTCTGACATTGAAATCGATTTCGTGACCACTCCATGACCTTACGAATCGAGGGCAAAAAATATTTAGCACAAATTTGTTTAATTGTAGGCCTGCCACTAGAAGAGAGAGAAAATATGTTGTGTCTCAATTTCTGTAGAATATATGGTCTAGGAATTGCTGTCGATATGTCGCAGTACAGTAAAGTTTGCTCGTTGACTTGCATTGACTGTCGTTGTAATGAATCGTTACTGTTGGAATAATGAGTGTTGCAATACACAAAAACACTCATTCATACAAAAGGTACAATGACCAAGTAGGCTTTTGTTATTTTCAGTTTTGATACTGAAATGCTTTTATAGTTTACCTTACTCTTCTCTGAACCTTAGAGAGTAAAACAAGTTAACGTGCTCTGAAAAGTAAATTAATAAACATTGAAATCGACTAAACCAAACAAAGTGTTTTATTTAATTGTGTACATTTCAATAGCTATAAACGACGTCTCTCCATTTCAAAGTACTTATCAGTTCGGTTAGAACGCTTCAATGCTTTTTGTATCGATAGTCGTTCGCATCTTTATGCATCTTTATATCGCAACCGTTTAAATGTAAGATCTTTGTGGAGTACTGGGAGATAAATCCTAACCGGCGTAGTTGGCGTTCCGCTGCGTCTTCAGGTTTTTGGGCGAATGCGTATATTAGTGGCTTGTGATCAGTTTTTATTACGAAAATCCTTGCTTCTAGCATGTACTTGAAATACTTGATTGCTTAATAGATTACTAGTAGCTCCCTGTCATATGTGGTACCTGCTTTCCGCTCAAAATTTTGCGTTGCATTTTGAGTCCAAATGGCATGTATACAATTTCAATCAAACCAAACGGAGTGCATACTGCAGTTTTCTCGATATCTTCTAATGCGATATGCGGTATGTGACAGTATGTGCTTACCATATAACCAGTCTGCGATGTATCGAATAACAATCAGGAGTTGTAATCGCGTTTAGCTTCCTGTAATCGCTACAGAACAGTCAATCACCACTTTGCTACCAAATGCAGCGCATTTGCCCATGAACTTTTGGAAAAGCAGAATAACAGATTCCTTCGTCAATCAGTTGATGGATTTGTGCTTTCGCTGATGCCAGTTTCTCACAGATCAGTCACCGCGGAAGTTGTGCTACTGCTGCTCCAGCTGTGATGATGTAGTGACAGTGCGTATGACGGGCGCGTTAGCTGTTGGCCGTGTTGACCGCCTCGGTATGTTTTGGGTGAGGGCTACGACTGTATGATTTCCGTGCATTATTTGCAGCTTCGAAATGCTGCGAGTTGATTGAACTGCCGAGAGTTGGGTGCTCCAGTGTTGAGATCAGACGTTGTTGCTTGATGTCTTTGAGCAAATGGAACTGTAACAGAAAGTCAGTGCTAATTATTGCAGTTTGCATGTCATCTCTATGATAAATGACCACTTAAAAGCACTACCCAGGTCCAAGTCGAGCTCTTGGTGTAGGTTGCCATATGTTTGTATTATGGTTCGGTTTGCGGCATATAATTTCAATTTACCATTTTGAAGTTTTTTATTTGTCATTGTGCAAGGCACAGCGGAAACCACAAATCTAAAATCAACAAGGAAGATATGATTAGTATGCAGGTCCTGTACGTGTAAACGATGGTCCTGCCCCCTCGTCGCCTGTGCTAAATGGTTGCTGGTCGTGGAAATGCATCCGCCCCCTAGCTCAGTTAACGGCAGACGCTCTAGTTTAATTGTTGATACGATCACCAATTTTTATGTGATAGAAGCAGAGCGAACTTTTCCCCCACTTTCCTCATCCTTTCTCGGTTTTGGTGACTGTTTTGAGCTACGACAATCGTCCTGTAGTTTATTGACTCTGCGAAAGCACATGCAAGGCGGCCGGAACATTACTTAAACTGCCGCTATTGTTACCGACCGCTTCTATATTCTGCTCAGCAATTGCAATTTGTGTCGATATTACGTAAGTTGGTTCCATTCCACTATTTTTCCGCATCTTGTCTGCTATTTTTGCCAACTTATTTAAGTCAACTTTCTCCCAGATAGAAATCAGCGGACGAACCGACATTGCCAGCTCGGCAATAAATATAGTGCGCTTAACGGCTTCGAATCCGTTAGCGGGTGTTAAACGACGCATTTGTGTAAGGATTTCTGACGGATTCTTGGTGGTCATGTCGCGACCTTGCAGAAGTCTCTTTTATTTTGAGTCCTCTGATTCCGCAAATGTTTCGAAAAGCCGTTTCGCTATGTGCCGTATTTGTTATGCACCGGTGGATATGTGATGAGATCCTCGATGGTGAGTGCGACATCCTTCTTTAAGTGTAACGACACCAAGTCGATCGTCAGGTGCAAGAGAAACAGGCGCTCAGATTGTGCAAACCAGTTGAGGATTACATTTGTTGATCTGTGGCGCGTTTTTCAACTGTGAGCATGGTTAATTTTCATTTCCTTCTAGTAGCCGTGCAAACGACGATTGAAGTTGCTGCACTTGCACCTTTAATTCGTGAAGTTCTTCATTAGGTTCGCTATCTTGAGTCGCCATGTTTGTTGCGACGAAAAATTCGTCAGTGTCGGGATTTGTGCGCTTTATGAACGTGGAAAATAGTGCTCGTTTTCCATATAATGTCTATTAAACGATCAGGATCACCACTTTGGTTTCTTGGCCAATTATATTCTTAATATTAGTTTTATCTGTGAAAGCAATTATAATAGTGAAATACCTCGTCTTCTGTTATCTTATAGCTGTTCGCTCTGATTAGCATCCTTTGGTCTTTGGTCTTCTGCTCAAGGTCGGCAGCTTAAAGGTAGGCCGATATATATATTAGCCTATAGATCGTGGCAAGGGCTGCCACATATTGATACTGTCTCCCCCATCTATGGCTCGCTCCTGTCAATAGGGAAAAGAGCACACTGCTGCCAGATAAAAGGTAAACAAATGCAGAGTATGCAGTCGCTTTCATAACACACTGTTACATGGATACTCTTCTAACACTCGAGCGTTGCCGTCATCCCTTGACTCCGCACAGGATCAACCATGTATGCTATGCATGCGAATGTGTCTGATAGTGCCATCCAAGCTACCGCAGTCTTTGGCGTCAAAAATAGAAGTGGTGAGTTCGTTTTGGCTAAAGCTTTACTCGGTTCTCGTTAACAAATTTATTTGATAACAGATGAGCTTACACAACAGTTGCAGCTGCCTACAGAATAGGATAGTATAAGCTTACATAGGATTGCTTAATATAATTTCAAGCTACGGAAGATCGACATGCTCATCGCCGAGACAAAAGACACTTGTGCGCTAGATTGTCTTAGGGCGTTACACACCGACAACTCATAAGAAGACTCATGTTGTCAATCTCAGTTGCCCACAAGAGTCTTATACCCCGATAGTCAAAACGTTACAGAAATTTTGCTCATTGAAAGAGTTGCCTTCAACCAAAAAAGTCCGAACATTTCAACAACAGTAATGTGGGAGTCACCTTTTAGTTATTTGGAAATACTGCCGTCAGGTCCATTTAAGGTAAACCTACCATCACATCCTAATCAGCTTGGTAACTTTTTCGAGGTTGCTAAGCTTTTGTCGCTGGAAAGCTTGTCTCGAGATCCCGACCTTAAGCGTATAAGCTAGGAGTTCTTGGAGGAATATTTAACATCGGACATCGTTTTAAATTCCGATGAATGACCTTTTAATGGTTGGGTTGACCATTCAAACGGAGCCTAATTCGATTCTGCTTCGATTTAGACTCCAGAAATATGCATTGACAGCAGACATGAATAAGATGTATAGGAAAGTCAAGGTGCATGAAGCAGGTCCGGAGAAAGAACTCATCTGACTTTGTGACGTTCGTCGGGTTAAACACTGTAACTTACAGCACTGCGCATGTTCTAGTTCTTGGCGATGTTAAACAAAGCTTACTTAGATGAGTGAACTATCACACCCTAAACCTGGTGACATAAAGAACCTTCAGACGATTAAGTCTGAAATGTCGCAATCATCTCAAAGATTTCGAACTAACCAAATGGGTTTCGAATTCTTCTGAGTTCTCCGCAACAAACGCAGACAGCCGATATCAGAGTCTGACACAAAGCATTTGACGTGATGTGGTTTCCGAATAAAGATAATTTTCAATTCAAGCTAGTCGATTCATTTGAGGCCTCAGAGTAACAACAGAATATTATCTCGGTAAAATCAAGGCCGTTTGACACGCTTGGCCTGTTAAGCCCTCTGATAATCAAGGTAAAAATCCTGCTTAGGCTTCACAAGTTAGATTGGGATGAATCTTTTCCGCAGAGTTTAGATAGTTCATGGCGTGAACCGTAAAGATTGGGTTCAGTCACATCATTCATCTTTGGCAACATTTGTGTCGAATCGAGTGGCTGAAATCCAAGAGTGGACAGAGAACGCAGAATGGCGCCATGAACCTACAGAGCAAAACCCAACAGATGTCTTTTTAAGAAGCGTCGATATTGACGAGTTACTTGCGTCGATGTGGTTCGATGGACCTTCATTTTAGATGGAACAAAGAAAATCCTGGTCGGTTAACCAGCATCTGATGACAGATAGCTGTTGCACTTGCAGCTATGATAGACCAACCAGATATCTTGGAAACTATCGGTAGTTTTTCATCACATGCCAAGCTGCTGAGAGTGTTTTCTTATCTGTTCCGCGCTCGACAAAAAAGAGGCTTTCGAAAAAAAAGTTGAAGTCAAGAGCTCCGCACTTCGGGAGTTTCTGGAAGGCAAGTATATAGTCCCACCTACTCCTACGGACGATAGGCAGCCTGCTGCTTACGGCTGCAGAAGATTCTAGTCGCAGTGGAAGCCGTGCTGAATTCCCGATCCTTGAGAGCTTTAAGCGATGACCCAAACGACGTCGAGACTCCTACTGGTGGGAGGCCCATTAAGGACTGGGAACCAGCAGGGTCTTACTTGCTTGAATGGATGCCTCGTCGCTCACGCAAAAGTTCTAGTGGCGATGGCCAAAAAAGAGTGTTTTCGTACTCCAAGCGCGGACCAAGTGGCACTATCTACTGCCCCATGTCATCATTAAAGAGCTGGTGGTCGTCGAAAAGGACAATTTGCCGCCAAAGCAATAAATGATCATCAAAGTGACGGCGGTGGACGCAGGAGAGGGTGGTGTCGTTAGGGTCGCAGAGCTGAACTCGTGGCGGAAATTTCAAAACGCTGATCCATTAGTTGCCACTTCGTATTTTTTTTTAATTTACCATAATTCCTTTAAATGAGCGTGTAGCGCGTGCTGCATTTGGTATTGGAATAAAAGGGTTCAAGGTATTCCCTAGTCGGGAGCACCCACCTAGAACCCCTTACTTGTTTTAATACAATTTATTTTACCATTTATTCTTTTGACTACGGAAGTCGCCTTGTGAATAAAAGATAAACACTCTTGCTTAAATTATAATGTTTTTGTTTTTGTATGGACGGATTGCCAACTATGTGTTATGGCGGATGTGTTGTGGCTGGAGAGGATCGTCTCGTTTACTTAAAACATATATTAGCTGCGGATATCACAATTGGTGACGATGTTCTCTTTG